CCTCTACTCTGAATTATCTGGTGAATTAATTATGAATTAATTATCTGATGAACGTGACATACTGTGCTCTGGCTCTCTGTAAATAAAGCAAAGCCACTTCCTCGTCCGACATTAAACAGAGCCCGACAGAGGAGGGAGGGGCGGGGAGGCTCTGCCGTGCAGCGCTTCAAGAGCTGTCCTGCGTCTGACCTCAAAGTGCAGAAGTGACCAGTCCTGGACCAGTTCTTCTGTGTTTGTCTGTGTCTCTTTCCTGTCCTCCAACCAGCCGGTCGAGGCAGACGGTCTCCTGTCCTGAGCCTGGTTCTGCTGGAGGTTTCTTCCTGATTAGCAGGGAGTTTTTCCTCTCCACCGTTTGCTCAGGATGGGAAACTGTGATGAAGTGATTCAACACAATTTTCTTCTTTAGATTGTTCTTTTTATGTACAGTGTCCTGAGACAACGTATGTTGTGACTTGGAGCTATATAAATAAACTGAACTTGAACTTGAATTGTTCTGAGACATTTGAGTTAAAGTGATGGGAATCGAACCAGCAACCAGCCTTCAGCAGACGAAGCAGCAGTAATGAGAACTGGTTAAGATTAAACCTTAACGAGTCGGTATAATCAGAATAAAATCACAGAGTGTTTCAGCTCGTGTTGGGTGGTCACCTGACTCCTCGGCTGCAGGCGGTCCGCAGGACGTGGAGGTCGTTACTGGTTGCCATGGTGACAGATTAACACACCCACGCACTGTGAGGCAGTAACCATGAGAACAGATGGAGACTCGCTGTGATCTGGAGTCATTTAGGCTGAAGACTCAGTAACGAAGAGGAAAACTGACCTGTTTGATTTTAAACAAACAAACAAACAAACAGAAATAAACAACACTACTCGAGTTTAATCAAATCCAAAGGAGAAGCAGCTTTTCGGCTCAAATCTGTTTTTCTTCCAAACATCAGGATTTTCCTGTAAAACAGTTTGAATCAACAGATTCCTGAAGGTCTTTTCAGAGTTTATCTTAAGCAGCTTTTATTTTGAAACATTATTTCCTGGTGATAAATATTTAGCTCTTTTTGAGGAGCAGGTTTGACGACGTTTATTGGAGTTTTTTTTTTTTTTTACCATGGCTGAAAGTTCTGCTGGAAACGTTTTATTTTTGTTGTTTCTGCAGATTCTCAGCAGACGGAGCATCTCTCCTCCTATCAGCTGACCATCCCTCGACCAATAGGAGGCCGTCTGAGGAGGGACGCAGACGGACAGCCGCCCAATCAGGTTCTGAGTTTTCACTTTTGTTTTTTTATTTTGCTTTTATTTTATGTACAGATGCTTCATTGGGCCCACCCCTTCCTATGTTGTCCTTAACCCCTCCCAGATCATACATAACCCCTCCCACATCGTACATAACCCCTCCCGTGTCGTACCTAACCCCTCCCACATCGTACCTAACCCCTCCCGTGTCGTACCTAACCCCTTCCGCGTCGTACCTAACCCCTCCCGTGTCGTACCTAACCCCTCCCACGTCATACCAAACCCCTCCCACGTCATACCTAACCCCTCCCACGTCATACCAAACCTCTCCTACGTCATACCTAACGACCTCCCACATCATACCTAACCCCTCCCATGTTGTACCTAACCCCTCCCATGTCGTACCTAACCCCTCCCTTGTCATATCTAACCCGTCCCACTTCATACCTAACCCCTCCCTCGTCGTACCTAACCCCTCCCACATCATATCTTATTCCTCCCACATCGTACCTAACCCCTACCACTTCATACCAAACCCCTCCCACATCATACCTAACCCCTCCCACGTCGTACCTAACCCCTCCCACATCATTCCTAATCCCTCCCTTGTCATACCTAACCCCTCCCTCATCATATCTAACTCCTCCCACTTCGTATCTAACCCCTCCCTCGTTGTATCTAACCTCTCCCTCGTCGTACCTAACCCCTCCCACATCATATCTTACTCCTCCCACATCGTACCTAACCCCTCCCACATCATACCAAACCCCTCCCACATCATACCTAACCCCTCCCTCGTCATACCTAACCCCTCCATCGTCATATCTAACTCCTCCCACTTCGTATCTAACCCCTCCCACATCATTCCTAACCCCTCCCTCGTTGTACCTAATCCCTCCCTCGTCATATCTNTAACCCCTCCCACATCATTCCTAACCCCTCCCTCGTTGTACCTAATCCCTCCCTCGTCATATCTAACTCCTCCCACTTCGTATCTAACCCCTCCCTCGTCGTATCTAACCCCTCCCTTGTCGTATCTAACCCCCCCACATCATATCTTACTCCTCCTAAATCGTACCTAACCCCTCCCACATCATACCTAACCCCTCCCTCGTCGTACCTAACTCCTCCCTCGTCATATCTAACTCCTCCCACTTCGTATCTAACCCCTCCCTCGTCGTACCTAACCCCTCCCACTTTGTATCTAACTCCTCCCACTTCGTACCTAACCCCTCCCTCGTCGTACTTAACCCCTCCCACTTCGTATCTAACTCCTTCCACTTCGTACCTAACCCCTCCCTCGTCGTATCTAACTCCTCCCACTTCGTACCCAGCTCTGCACACATGCAGTGGATATTGTTTAAAGTGTCACACTTGCAGCTAAACATTTACTTGAAATGTTTGATGTAAAAAATAACTTTTGAGTCTGAACTTGAAATCGTGTTGTTAGCTCTGGTGTTGTTATGGTAACAGGTCAGAGTTAGCGCTGAGCTTTATCCTGAAAATCTGCTGGTTTAATGGAGTCCAGGAACATTTTAATCTGTGAGCTGCAGTCAGCAGAGCTGCTGTTTGTTTCTGCTTGTGTCGAGAAGCACGCTGGAACACGTCCACATACCACACACACACACACACACACACACACACACACACACACACACACACACACACACACACACACATCACAACCCTTGAAGTCGTTCTGATGATGAGGAGTCCAGGTGATGAAGAGTCTCAGATGTCCAACAGTCAGGGCTCGTCTTCGTCTCCCTGACAGTAAACAGTTGTTTGTTTGTGTCTCTGCAGGCGTCCTTCATCATCAGAGTGGACGGAGACGATCATGTGGTGCATCTGCAGAGGAACCAGTGAGTTTCAAAATAAAATACCTTTTCAACACTTCGATTCTGTTTATTTAGGGCTGCAGCCCTGCATGTTTTACTTGTTTCTCTGCTCCAACACACCTGATATGACTGAACAGATGATTATCAGACTTCTGCAGTACGGAGGACCAAAACTGACATAATTAGAAATAAAAGCAGAATTATATGAACCACTAAATAAATACACTTAAAATGCACCAATTAAATTAAAAAGGAGAACTTTACCTCATGTTTTATCATTTAATTGATCTTCATATTTATTTTTCCAGCTTAGTTC